GGAAGCAGAGAGATTGGGATAGGGAGCGGGATACGGAAGCAGAGAGATTGGGATAGGGAGCCGGATACAGAAGCAGAGAGATCGGGATAGGGACGCAGAGAGATGGGGAGAGGGAGTGGAATAGGGAAGCAGAGGGATGGAGGAGGGAAAGGGGGATAGAGGAAGAAGAGACGGGAGAGGGTGAGCGACACAGCGAGGAACTAGGCTCTGCAGTATTTAGGTAAAACAGTCGTCACTACATATCCACTGACTGGCTGGACAACACGAGAGCTTAACGCTGCGACGAGGCAGAAAGGGGAGGGGGACCATCAGAGGGGAAAAGCAAAAGAGGGAGGGGTCAGGGAGAGAAGACAAGCCTACGCACCGCAGAAAAGCAAGAAAGAGACTGCTCACCCGAGAAATACAAGACATTGACTTACTGCGCTGGGATCGGGCGTGGGAGGGACAGTGAAGCAGATCGAGGACCCAGCTGGACATGAGCAGTGTAATGAGATTATAGGGAACCACGTTTGACGAAAGAGTGTGAATATATAATGCTGATACACACACGAGAACATAGAAACACACACTGACGCAGACTCGGAAGCAGACAGAAGCTCATCGGGCTGGTATTAGTGACAATAGAGCATGCATCATTCTGTTTGTCCACCAATCCATTCATATTTGCTACCCCTCATCTATCCATTGGTTTATGTAAAAGACAGCTTGGACATGTGTGTAACATTAAGTGCTGTGCATATCTGTGTCCAACATCTATTTACTGTCTTTGTCTACACAGAAAGTCTTTACCTAGGAGTTTAGGTACGCACAGTATATGCATGTTTCTATGATGTAGTTGGTTTACTCAAGGCAAGCAGGTCCGCAGGGTCTGTGAACACAGAGCTTTGGATCTCTCTGTAAAGATAATCTTCATTTTCCTTGTGATTTCTATGAAATAAATTTATGCTCAAGTGATTTTAAGTTCCGTTATCATGTCTATGTTTTGGGACCGGGTGAAGTCCCCTTCTCCGAGATCAGGTTCTCAGCCAGGAATCAAACCTACAACCTTCCAGTTATAAGTCCAGAATCCTAACCACTGCCATCCCAAAATATATGGGATAGCCTCTCGCACCCTGGAACAAGCCTTATTCCGATAACAGATGGATCTCATTCATATTTAACACTTTCTTTCCCATCTCACTATCATTGTCTTTTTCTAGGTGCAATGTGTGAAGCAATGCTATTAATTTGAAATGTTAAACTTTGACAGATTTCTAAGATCTATAACATTTTAGCCTGAAAAGAAAAGGTAAGATTGGCCATTTTACAAAGGCAGCAGAGATAAACAACAGGAGGAATCTTCCCTCTTTGCCCATCCAATCTGTATGATAGCAGAAGACTGGGACACTAGAGCTCTGAATTTTGATGGAAATTCTGACAGGCCCCCCGCAATAGTTAAAGCAATCTTGATTAAAAAGAAACTTACATTAAATGTTAATATTAAGGTATTAATATTTAAATCGCAAGATGGTACTCCTTAGCCATGTGTAGGACCTTCAGAAACCCTTCACATAAAGGATAAACCTAAAAAACATTAAACTGATTCCTTGACATTAAAATGATCAGAAGTGAATACTGCAAACAAAGTGCATTTCAAATGCTTTTGAGTATTTTTACAGTCATGTTATACCAATACCACAAACAAATATCCCATGAAAATGTTGTAAATTGCATTTACCTTTCTAAACCAACATGGAAGGTTTCTGAGTCCTGATAATATTGATGACGCTGGTTTTCAAAATTGTACTGATTTTAACTAGGTTTGTAGATTATTTTTAACTTTCTATTTAAATTCTAGAAATAAAATAGATAAGAGCCTGGAAGGTCAGTTAATCCATTTTTTATTAAAAATATCCTTGATTACAATCACCCAGGAAATGAAATATGAAACTATCATTATTATTGTCATTGTTATATTAATGTTACTCCTTTCTTAATAACTCTCAACCAGAAAGTTATACAAACACACAGTAAAACAGCAACAACAAAAAAAAAACTCAAGTTCAAATCAACAGCCACAAAACCCCCCAAAAGGTAAAAGAAAATATTTATATATTAATACAACATAACAAAATATTCAGTTCTCTCATTTCAGCACTAGAGGGTAGCAAATTATGAAAAAAATACCTGCAGTCCCAATAGTCAACACTTGGTGGCAGCATTGCAAAAAGAAATTAAGGCGATGTCTCAAATCACCCCTTGTCTCCTACTGGCAGTGCCATCCACCATGTTGTACAGTTTGTCCTCAAATCCTTAGCAACCATCAAAAAGGCTCTAATACCCACGAAAATGTACTTTTCGTCCCAAACGTAAACTGTCTGTTACACAGCAGCTCAGAATCCGTCTGAAGTAAGCAGTCCTGCAGTCTTGTATACTATGTTTTTTTTAAATAAAGGTGTGGAGAACAATTTGTTCTTGTGGTGCATGGAGGATAAGATCATCCTCGATAAATGCAAGAGTTTTCAGACCTATGGATGTTAAAGTCACGTGGATGTATGGGGGCCAGAATACATACTATAAGCTGACAATAGCTGACAATGAGAGCGTAGCTCACTCAAGCGATAACAGTCCACCTTCCTGGGAACGAGACCAGAGCTCCCTGAATGTCACAGACAGTTTACCTTGGGCTAGAAATATCCCACAGCAGCCCCCAAGACGCAAAATCGTGGGGGTGATCTTTTCGCTATTTACTGCCCGCCGCAGTGCTGCGCGCTCTGGCCTGTAGGGGGTCAATGCTTTGCCAAAGCCGAATCCAGGCTGGGACCGGGAAGGGCGGGGAGAGGGCCGGGGCGGAGAGGGCCGGGGCAAAGAAGGGAGACCGGCTCGGGAGAGCCCAGGCAGGGTGGCCCGCTGTCGCAAGAGGGAGAATGAGAAGGTGGGGCGGCAGAAGGAGAAGGTGATGCAGCGAGGGACGTCGCCGCGCTGGTGGCAATGAAGATAAGAGGGAAGAGGAGCGAGAGAGAGAGAGAGAGCGCGCGCGCGCTCCAGGTCCGACATGGAAAAGGACTGATCCTGCTCCCCTGCCGCCTTCTCTTTCGCTAAGGCACTTGATGGATGCGCTTGCAGTTTGTTAACCCCCATCTCTCTAGCAGAGGATTTCCTCCCACGCCCCCGTCAGCCAGACAGTGCGTGTGTCTGTGCGCCAGCCGAACAAGAAATATCCCCGCAGCAATGGGGAGTCTGTTAGTATTGTATTAATCACAACATTCCCCCGGGTACAGCAGTCTGTTAACCTATCAGCCCACCCCACCCCCCCATCCCCGGCACCCTCCCACCCTTTTCGTTCCCTCTCCGCATCGGAGCCCTCCCTCTCTGTCCCAACACTTAACCCCCACCCCACTCCCAACCTGACACCCTCTATAGAAGCGAGCAGCGTTTCTTGGGTTTGGTCTCGGGGGGCTCCAGCGCAGCCAGGATAGCCTCGTCAAACACGTTCTTCAGGCCTCTCTGGAAAACAACCGGAAGGGAAGGCAAGTCAGTCACCCCCAGTAAAACCGTATCAACGTCAAGACGGAACCTACACGCCTGCCGCAAAGATCTGCACGTCCCTCCATGCAGAAGGATGACAAGTGTCTAGTCTTCAACCAAATTTGCCATTTAGGGAACATAAAAATGTCAGGCATCTGATCTCAGATTATCTACATCGCCGCGAGGAACACTTTGGTACTGAGAGATCAGATCTTTATGGAAATTATCCTATTTTTAAAGCTTGCCCACCACCCTCTGTTAGGATATAACTGAACCCAGACGCCCACGACTGATCCTCATTTCCCGACTTCCAGTCCATCAAGCAGCTCGGAAACTCCGCAGCCCTGAGCAATGTCCAAGCACGTTGTGATCCTGTCATAGGCACCCTTTGCATTTAATAATAATAATAATAATTGCTTACACTTATATAGTGCTTTTCTGGACACTCCACTCAAAGCGCTTTACAGGTAATGGGGATCCCCTCCACCACCACCAATGTGCAGCATCCACCTGGATGATGCGACGGCAGCCATAGTGCGCCAGAACGCTCCCCACACATCAGCTCTCAGTGGGGAGGAGAGCAGAGTAATGAAGCCAATTCATAGAGGGGGATTATTAGGAGGCCATGATTGGTAAGGGCCAATGGGAAATGTGGCCAGGACGCCGGGGTTACACCCCTACTCTTTTCGAGAAGCACCCTGGGATTTTTAATGACCACAGAGAGTCAGGACCTCGGTTTTACGTCTCATCCGAAGGACAGCGCCTGTGACCCCGTCACTATACTGGGGCATTAGGACCCACATGGACCGCAGGATGAGCGCCCCCTGCTGGCCCTACTAACACCTCTTCCAGCAGCAACCTTAGTTTTTCCCAGGAGTCTCCCATCCAGGTACTGACCAGGCTCACACCTGCTGAGCTTCAGTGGGGCTGCCAGCTGAGAGTTGCAGGGTGATATGGCTGCTGGCATTTGGACTGGATGTGACTGTAAGTTGCTTTCCAATCAATAAACACTGACGGGAATATTAGAGTGCCGCTTTAGCACCCTACAAAATCCTCTACACAACTACACCTGTATGGGTACAGTACCTGAGTGAGGGCTGAACACTCCACATATTTGACAGCTCTTAGGTCTCGGGCTAGTTTCTCTCCGCTCTCCGGTGATAGGGGGCGCTGTTTGTTCTTGGCCAGCTTGTCCACAGTGTTGGGGTCGTCCCTCAGGTCAACTTGTGTCCCCACCAGCAGGAAGGGAGTCCTGGGACAGTGGTGAGAGATCTCTGGAACCCACTGAAAGCGAGAGGGATAGGGCACAAGGGGGGGTAGGGAAATAATTAGGAACAATGAAACACCAACCAGAGGGCACAGGGGGAAACAAGGCAGGAGCACACTTATCAGTGAGGACAGGATGCTCTTGTTTACACAAAGAGATGTAAAGGGATGTGGGAGCGTGGATCAAGTGACCCAGACATGATGTTGAACCCAATACCTAAGTTTCATTCAATTGACAGCTAGAGGGTGGTATGGTGGCACTGTGGCTAAGAATCTGCGCCTGTGGCTGGAAGGTTGCCAGTTCAAATCCCACGGCCAGCAGAGGAATCCTACTCAGTTGGGCCCCTGAGCAACGCCCTTAACCCCAACTGCTCCAGGGGCGCCGTATAAATGGCTGACCCTGCGCTCTGACCCCCAGCTTCTCTCCCTGTCTGTGTGTCTCATGGAGAGCAAGCTGGGGTCTGTGAAAAGACAAATTCCTTATGTAAGAAATTGTATATGGCCAATAAAAAGATTTTATCTTAGATTAAATCAATTAACTACTACTTTCAAAACGGGCTTATTAGGCTGAACAGCCTCTGTTTCTAGATTGTCTTACGATCTTGGCCAGGGATAGGAGAGCGTGTTGAACACAAGGATGCTGGGGTACTGGGTGGATCTTGTGGGGGGGATAGAGACCGACAGTCAGCTGCGAGGCTAAATCCGTCCCCTGAGGGCAACAACATTAACTGAATCAAGTTGGCAAAGCAGAGGCGAGGGGTTTCTGCCTTTTAAATTGGATCACAGATGTAAAAACAAAAACTATACACTTGCAAACTGCGTTTTAATAATAACCTGAAAATCAAACTATAGGCTCCACGCTTCTTACACACTCACTCAACCCCCTTGTCTTAGAATTCTTCGTAACTCCGCTGCACTTTCCTGAAGTTGTGTGGGACATTAAAACGCTGAAGAACCTGACGCCGAGCTCTGCAAACCACCTCCCAATGTAGCTCTGCGGCTGACATCCTCCCAGACACAGTAAAGAGCCCCCAAAAAATGTCTTTACTCAAAGCTACCCTTTGACCCCTGAGCACCCCAGAGGATAAGATGGATGATGGACTGATAACGTCTTATTCCACTAAATGCCCAACCAGGGCAGGAGGAGATCAAGGTCGAGCAAAATCTCTCCTTGTGCTGGGAAAAAAAAAACAGGCTTCCAAAAGGTCAAAGGTCAAAGAGCAAACAGGCACACGGAACTGAAAACTCATTAGCAGAGCGTGCAGGGAGGCAGAGCGACTGATGAGGGACAGCGAGCCCCACCAAGACAGAAACCGTTGGGGTAGATCAGTGCAAACAGAAGTGTTAAGAGGGTCTCCGTGAACTTTGTACACACTTTTCCTGCCGAAGCTGCAATATTTTATTATAAGGTGGACATTTAGAACTGGTTTGAACTGGATGGGAAGAATGCGGAACACAAGGGCTACTATGTAATCCTATACTGTTATATAAGAATGCGTCCTGCAGACCCTAGCAACCAATTGTGTTAAAAGAAGTTATCCTCAGCAAATAGGGAATTAGGAACAGTCTATCTGAGCAGCACAGGGAAGCGTGATAGATGACAGACAAATATTCAAGGACTGTTCTAGTTTAATGACTTTGAGAAAAATACGCCGAGCATCTCTGTGTGTCTCACTCCCATGCGCATGAAATCAAAACTCCTTTTTAACTTCCGAGACGGACTCCTGACTGTCTTTTAAGGGGAAGTGGGAAAAAGTTCTCAGGATAAGGAGCAGGGAAAACTGGCCGCCAGCGAGACAAGGATGAGGGGAGAGAGGAGGAGGGCTCACCTTCTCCCGGACATTCTCGAAGGAAGAGGGCGAGACGACGGAGAAACACACTAGGAAGACGTCAGTCTGGGGGTAACTGAGGGGACGGAGTCTGTCGTAGTCCTCCTGACCTGCGAGAGGGAGAAAGAGGACAGCGCACTGTCAGCTGCATCCTGCACACATTCCAGAGGACAAATTCAGATTCCGAAATGAAACACAGGCAATCAAAGCACTGATACTTGCAGACAGTCAGAAACAGCTGACCAGAAACCCCCCACAAAACCAGACAGGCAAACACACTAACGCAGTCAGTAGCAGTGACACAGACGTAGAGTCTCAGACAGCCTGTGGTCTTACCTGCAGTGTCAAACAGCCCCAGTGTGTATGGCTCTCCACCGATCATCACTGTTACTGCATAGTTGTCAAACACCTGGGAGAGAGAGCGTGGAGATTAATACAAAGACACTAACCGCCTGGACACCATTGCCCATTCACACTGACTAGACACTACTGCACATTAACTCTGACTGACCAACTGGACAGCACAGCACAGGAAAGCTGTTCAAGAGCAGTCAGTGAACAACTACTGAACTGCGAGTGGGGTATTTACAGTGCTTGTGTGTCTATACTACTGACTCCGGATCTGCTATACAGTAACAGATCTGACTCTGACTGCCCCATGCCACGTCTTGCACAGAAGTGAACAGCAAGTGTTAACTTTGGAGTGAGCTGACAAACACGTTCAAAACTCATGACTTTCTGGGAGGCTAGCAGAGTCTGCTGATACTAGCAAAAGAATGGAAAGGCTGTTTTTCTGCTGTGCGGAAAGTCCCATCTAACAAAATGAGTTAGCCTGCACATATTTCTTTGCATATGTCTTTCAGCAACTCTGTCTGCTCATGTATTTATTTCTCCATGTCCAGATGCAGACAGCTGTCTGAGATACAAGGTATCCAGTTGCCTCTCCCCTCTCCCGTGTGCGCTGTGCGGTACTATCACTTTCTCTCTTCCGGTCTGTCTGATGTGTGGTCCTGTCACAGCACTGCAGTGTTTTCCCCAGCCCAGCAGGGGGTGCTCTCTCACCGTAGGAACATACTCCGAAGGGAATTTGTTTGTGGTGTAGGAGATCAACAGGCAGGTCTTCCCCACGGCCCCATCACCGACGACGACACACTTTATCGTCTGCATTCCTAAAGGGAAGTGGCAAGGGGAGGGGTTACTGAAATACAGCACACCAGAGAGATGAGTGAGACACGGAATGAAATGGAAACTAGTGCTGCAGTCTCAGTAAGGACTGCTCACAGGATTTTTATACAGGGATCTGGTAAGATCTCTCTTAAAGGGGAACTGCACTCCCAGGTTCTCAGACCAGTTATTAAATAACCAAATAATTCACTGACGTTATAGAAACATTTGACAAATTGCGAATTAAGCGCCAAATCGTGAACCTTGTGAAAGTACTGCAAGTCACCGTTGTTGTCGCAAGCCTCTGGTCTCGCTAAGGGCGAGAGCGAGAGTTTGCAAGAACCGCGACGTGAAGAAGCCCTTCCTGCTCACTAGTCCCTGTAATGACTGATGTACTGTGATGGACGAGCGAATAGGTACAGGTTGGGCAGCAGACATTTCACTGCAGAAACCTTCCAACGTGATCTGCACGCAGAGTTAACAAGTAGCATCTGGCGGCAAAACCGTCTCAAAATCAAGGGCAATATTTCTATAAGGTTAAAAGAGATGTATCCACAAGCCTGCTTGTTTACAATGTCATAGGGTCGCAACACATCACTGGACGTATTGTCTCATTGCGAATCACAGAACATGGCGCTGCGCAGACCTGGAAATTGTTACAAATGACTGTATACATTTTAATATAATTGTGGTTTGAAATGCACTTTTCAACCCTGCTTCTTCTAACCCCAAAATGTAAAAATAGCAGTGCAGTTTCCCTTCAAATCCTGTTCACAACGTTTTTACAAGAGAATCCGGTGCAACTTTCTGTACTGATCACTGGTCTTAAAAGGGAACTAGGAAGGTCAGTAACAAATTAAAGAAGATAAAGCAAAAAAAGCAATCGCAGAAAAGTAAAACAAGTCAACATGATAAACAACAGCGCGATACATACCCGCTATACAAAGTCTTGACGCTACGTCTTTTTTTCCCCACAAATAAATAAAACGTAAATCCTTAAATATTCTCTCTTGCCCTGAGTGCACTTCAGTCTTCGGTACACTATGTGGCACTACAAAGACTCAGCAGCAGCAGTGAAATTTGGACACAGGATTGGGGACTATGCAGTCTGGAATGATGTCCTCGTTGAACACTGTTATGGCCTAAGAGAAACAGAAAGGAAAAAATTAATATTTAAAAGAAAAGGTTTATTTTTAGACGCTATGTAAAGTGTGACCACAGTGCATTCTGCTAACTAATAACATGGACACACGGCCCACATTAACTTCTTTAAAAAGGAGAAGCAGTCAGTCATCTAAAATGAATGAGCCTTTAAAGGCACAGTAATATGGTAACCAGGCAGAGGGCAGGTTCACGTGATCTGATGATTCTGCGTGTCACTCAGATGGGGGCTGCACTTCCGTGCTGGAAAGATGACTGAACTTTATAACCTGGACATCCCCAGTGTAAGCCAAGGTGGATCCCCCAAGTGGCAAAGAATAGGAAGTGCACTATGGGGGTAAGACTGTGGGCAACTCATACAGTGCTCTCTGCTCTTACTAATATCCTCACACTTACACAGAGCTTTGTTGGACACTCCACTCAAAGCACTTTACAGGTCAGGTACCAGTGTGCAGCCCCACCTGGGTGATGCTCCAGTACTCTCCCCACACACCAGCTCTCAGTGGGGAGGAGAGCAGAGTGATGAAGCCACTTCAGAGATGAGGATTATTAGGAGGCCATGACTGGTAAAGACCAATTGAAAATATGGCCAGGACACCAGGGTAACACCCCTACTCTTTTGGAGAAACACCCTGGGATTTTTAATGACCACAAGGAGTCAAAACCTCAGTTTTATGTCTCATCTGAAGGACGGCGCCTTTTTACAGTATAGTGTCCCCATCACTGTACTGGGGCATTAGGAGCCACACAGACCGCAGGGTGAGCACCCCGTACTGGTCCCACTAACACCTCTTCCAGCAGCAACCTTAGTTTTTCCCAGGAGGTCTCCCATCCAGGTACTGACCAGGCTCATACCTGCTGAGCTCCAGTGGGTTGCCAGTTGTGAGTTGCAGGGTGATACAACTTACTAGCAAAATTATGATTCCTGTGACCTTTCAGGCTAGTAACAACTTTGGTGAGCTCTCTTCCAATAGGCAGTATGTCTCTGGTCAAGCACTGTGAAGGTAAAGACACCAAACAGCAAATGGCTCTGCAGGTAAAGGAGCCATGGGGAAGTATATCTACATGCACCACTCTCTCCCGAGTAGTACTGGAGCCGTCATCTGAACGGATGAATCTTAAAAAGAATCAGAGATGTCAAACTTGGTGGGTAAAACATAAAAGTGCATATGAAACTAAGAACGGGAGGCACTTCTTTACACAAAAGGATGCAGGAGTATGGAACATGCTGCCCAGCCATTTTGTTGATTTCTTTCAAGAAAAACTGGGATGAGATCTTTGAATCAATTAGCTACTAACTACTTATCAGGCTAAACTATTGGCTCAATCTGACCAATTTTTTTAAATCTTTTTTTTCCCCCCCAGCTCTTCAGGTGTTGCTACTTTATAAAGAACCTTAGAAAAACAGCAGACACATCAGCTCTCCTGAACCAGGACCGGACAGTTCTGATCCGGCACATGGCTCTTTAGAACTCCCGACTGGAAAGCTGCGCAACTAAATAGAAGAGCATTCCAATCCAAGACAGGAGGCACTACTTTACACAAAGGGTGGTGGGGGTGTGGAACAAGCTACCCAGCCATGTTGTTGAAGCCGATACTCTGGATGAGACCCTGGGATCAGTTCGTTAACCACTACCAAGCAAAATGTCCGCGAGAGAGGAGAGCTGTACTCCAGTGATGGACTGGGCTGAGCTGATCACCCACACTGGACCAGCCAGACTTATTATCGGGGCTCAACCACGGAAAACAGAAACCGACACGGCTCCACAAGAACCAGGCTGTCCCAGGAGGATAATCACTGCCACCACGCCACTTCAAAAGCAGGAGAGGACTTTTAAAACGCAAATCGAGAGGGGTCATCGAAAAAAAAAATCAAGCCATCGGGTACTGCGTTTGTTTCCAGACGTCGGTGAGCCGCGACAATGGCAGTTTTATTAAGATAAATATAAGCGGAAAATAACCGGATCGCGTTTTTCTCCAGCACAGGATGGCCCAATCACTTTCGGCACGCTTCAAATTGGCAATTTTATACACCAGTTCTGGGCAAGAAGAGCACCGTGCTTTAGCCTCACACCTCCTCACCCATAGACAGCCACACACTACGACAAAAACCCTCCCGCCGTCCTGCTGGAACTGAGCTGATCGTCTCCAGCAGGAACCGGCCTGGGAGGGCAGAATGACGTCCTGTTGCCATCAGAGCCTGATCAACCTCAATAGACCTGCTAAATCTATAATCTGGACACCTCCGAGGCTCGGTGCAATCAACCTGCACGTCCACCAGCGGGGGCAGTCCTACGGGCTGGGTCATAGGCTGAGCTCAGACAGACGCTACATCACCTCTAGCCAAATTATTCTAAATGTGCAAAATAAAGTCTAAAATGAGTGCGTGCACGGCTTAATTATGGAGTATCTTCACGGGGAATCGACGATGTCGTCAAAGCGGACTTGTTCAAAATGCCGAAGTGAAAGGGGAAACTCCGTGGAAATGCATTTAAAAGAGGGAACAGGGGGAGGGGAGGCGCTTTCTTTCCACACACAAGGGATGCGGGAGCAGGGAACAGAGCCAAGCTGCGGAAGCCAATATCCTGGCTCCGCTTCAAGTCTGGACTGGGCGAAAGGCTCATATCCAGTCGTTACCAAGGACAAAACGGGCTAGACAGGTCGGATAGTGTCCTGTTTGTAAGCCTTCTCATGTCCTCTGCCGCGCAGGCAGGAACCCGTAGCGCGGGGTCCCCGTCACTATGGAGGCTAGTGACTGCACCGCCGGTAGGACCGGCCCGGACCGGCCCCTCACAGAGCCGCTGGGGTCGCGGTCGCCGCCGCAGGCCGGTTCCGGCTGCTCTCTGGCCCTGCGGGCGGAACCAAGCCGAGGTCGCGCTCGCGCCCCTGCCGGTTGCCGTCACAACCCAACTTCTCGAGTGACCACTTCCGCGAGGAGGGGGAGCGCGCAGGCGCGCGCGCGCGCGCCCCGGCCCGGCCCAATGCGCCGACAGTGCGGAAATACGGAGCAAGAAATGTCTCAAGAATAAGAGTCAATACTAAAAAAGAAAAACCACCACCACAAGTGGAGAAAGAGACATTTCAACTCGGCCCACTCCCAGGTCGAGATGTACCAGCACTTCCCCTAACTTCAGACCTCCAGCGACAACAGTAGTGAAAGTGGAGTTACTGCTAAAAACACCAGTACCGTCAAGCAAAACGTCCTACTCACTGCAGTTAAAATCTCGGTTGAGTTTTTAAGATGGATCAGAGTCCGAACCGAGTTAACAGCCCGTGTTAACGTGTTAGCCGAGCTGAGATGCCATTATCACACGTTTGGTTCAGAATTAGACGATGCAGGCGCCGCGGTTACCCTACAGTCGTTGCACGCTCAAACCCAATGCTAACTGTGCACGTTATAAACTCGAACGAAATCATCGAGCGCTGAATCACTGAACGTCAAACTTTTAGCAGCCTTTCGATACCAACCAGTCCTGCAACTGAAAGGTATCCCAGCACTGGCGAATATAACAATCGCGGCCGAAATTAAGACCGGTGACTTTCTACCCAGGTGAACGCGGCTTGTCAAATGCAGCTCTTCATATCTCCTTAGATGAAAGTTTGTTGTTCTTTTTTTTTTTTAAAATATATAGATAAATACATCAAAAATGTCCCCCCAAACTCACCCGCTTTCCTGCTCCAATATTAGGCGTTGGTCACATCCGGGTTCTCGAAGTCGACGCGCCACGAGAGGGCGTTCCCATGGCGATCGCTCCGAGCTCCGCACTCCCCGGCCTCGCCCCGCCCCTACCCGTGCGTGTGTGCCTGTGGAGGCGCTCGGGTCTCCCCTAAATACCGAGAGCCACCCTCACGCACACAGCCGTACCAGTAATTCTCCTCCGACTGGTTTTTAACCTTTTCCATACTAAAAGCGTTATTGCTTAGTAAGGTAACTCCCCATAAGGATGCTTGATTGTTTAAGGAAGTGGGGGCTGAGCAAGACAACACTCACCGATTTTGTACCGTAATACGATTGAGAGTCTCCTGACCGGAGGTATTACGTTGTGGTATGGTCGAGCCACAGTACAGGACAGAAAAGCCACACAGAGGGTTGTAAGGTCCGCGCAGAAAATCACTGGGACTGAGCTACCCTCCATCAACCGGATATATCTCGACCAGTGCCACAACCGGGCTCGAACTATACTCGGGGACCCAATTCACCCTGGCCACGATCTGTTTTCACCCCTGGGTTCCGGTAGGAGGTATCGCAGTATCAGAACACTGACAACTAGATTCAAAAACAGTTTCTTCCCCCAAGCAGCCCGCATCATAAACAGCTCAAATTAGCAGCCACACATATTAGCACCTGCACTTTAAGGAACTGCACTGTTTGTGCTATGTCCTGTCTTGGCTGTATTATAACGTCTGTTGTCTGAATTTATTGTCAATGTCTGTTTGTCATTTGTGCCTATTTTTCTCTCTCTCTCTCTCTCCTGTTACTGGGTCCCACTGAACGAGTAAGCATTCCAATATGCTTGTTGTATGGCAAATAAAAAAATAATAATCTTGATTCTGAAACACAGAAATTGGGTACTTTTGGAGAGGCGGCGTTAAAATGGCCAGTTCGGACAGGCACGGATTTGACGCAGCAGAGAACTTGGCACTAGTTAGAGGAACTGAGCGGAAACGCTGCTAACTTGATACGCATTGCTATTAAATTACTCCATTGTGACACAACCTTACTGTCCAAATAAAGAAGCGAGCTGCCTGGAGTAATTTAACATTACTGAACGAATGATCATTTCCAATTATTAACATGATGCTCGTCGGCAGATGACGATCAATGCAGTTGATTGATGGGATCACCCTCACATCTCACCCTGACTCCCCAATTTAAGAAATGCTCCTTGGCATTTGTACTGTGTCCCTTTCCACTTTAAACCCTAACAAACAGCTGATGTATTGGTAGGAACCTTTCAAGAGGTCTTGGTACATTAGGTAAAGACTGAACATAAGATGAACAGGAAGTGTAAAAGAGGGACAAGTGCAAAATAATGAAAAAAGACTAAAAAACACACCCACATATTTTTCACTTCTTACAGGTAACTGGCAAGGTCGTATTCACTCGCTTAGGTAACTGATCGATACTTTCAGCTTGGCAAAAGCCAAACATTCCTTTTCGTCCACTTCAGCGGCAGACCAATGGCAACCATTTAACTGGCAGGTCTGGGTTTGATGAATATAAATCTGAAGGGAAGGTATTAATCTCATTACGGAGCTGGATCTGCTACCAAGACTAATACTATGATTGGTTTTGTTATGTCAAAAGTGCTAACAAGTTCTGCCGCTATTCAGATGGTGGTTGTTCTTTAATTCAGCCACTGGACTTTATTCCTTTCAAGTTTGAATGTGATTTATAAATTTACACAGCTCATTTATAGCGGGGCAAGAAGGAAGCAGAGCACAAAGAATTAGCCAGAAACAAGGCTCGCATTTGATTAACCATTCGGTTCATGGCTACTTTAACCCATGTATAGTGCATATTTTCCACACAGTTGGGGCTGGCGGCCGCAATCCAGTTAGATGTATAGCTGTTTGATTTAAACGACATGGAACATCAGTATCAGTGAGTTGTAAAAAAACCCAACTACATCTCAGTTCAGTTACAGAAATAATCCTTCATCAGAATGAGTTGGGCACAAGTCCTCGAAAACTTTCACGATTCATTATACAGTAGGAAATTGAATGATTTTTATCCTGATCAGTGGAAACTCTGAGCTCACTTGATATAAACCTAGTCACTCGAAGGGACTGCTTTTGGGATCTGAAACAAGAAGCTGAAATAGAAGAGGTAGTTCAGGACAGAGAAATGGAAGTTAAGAGTCTACACTATGACTAGTGGGGGTCTAGGTGGCTATGCAGTCAGAGCAGATTCCAGCTTTGTGTCAGTCACAGGTTAGCATACTGCTCTAAACTTAGTTCCTGCACAGACTGTTAAGTCCTAAATGTTTCATCTTTCTAAAACCAAAAGCTCTCAACCTGGGGTGGCACTGTGTTGTAGGGATTAGAACTGCTGCCTCATACAACTAGGGCCCTGGGTTCGATTCCAGGGGACTTGGTGGGTTTCCTCCCACAGTCCAAAGACACGCAACACATCATTTGGTTGGAACCTTTGCAAGATTTTTACATGTATGCTTAAGATCTCCAACTTTTGTGTGACTTAAGAAACCCTCCAGTTAAAAGGCAACCCCCCTAGACGTGTAGGAGCTGGAAGCAAGGGGTTCAAATTAAATTTAAATTTAGTATCAGGTGTATTAAAAGGTCAATTATTTAACGGAGTGCTCCTGAAAGAAAACCCAGCAGGTGTGTGGTGGCCCCCAGATCCTAGGGTCCCTAGATTTGGGAACCCCAGCTCTGGATCTGCTTAGACAAAGCCTTTTTGGGTGTATTCCAGTTATCGTTCTCCATCAACATTTCAAAGACGTGCGTGCGTGCGTGACGTGCAATCAACAACATAACACCGGATTACTGTCACGTTGCGCCCTTCACGCCAGGAAACACTACAGTGCAATATTATATATATATAAAGATCAATTACAACGCCCCCAGTCAATACAAATTGACAAACGAGCAAAAAGAAATCATTTAGACATTCAACAAATCCCCAAGGTACAATCATTCCTGACGTGACCTGCTAATTTCACAGACAGAAAGGAAAACCGACGTAACCTCCGGGAGAACATTAACATTTGGTTTAGTGACGGTTCTCTTACAGCTTTATAAAGCTAATTAATAGGGTCCTGAAAAAAAAAAACCCAAACAAACCAAAAAGCTAGCTGCAAAGAATGCAAAACGGTCGGTCTCCGAAGTTTTCTTGAGCAGCTGTGACCATATTGATCGCGACTATTGGTGCGCCGCAGTGACGTCAGACGCCCCCCTTTCATTCGGCCCAGCTGAGTTGAGGCCTGGAGCTGCCATCAATTTAGTAATTAAAGAAAACGATTCTCCCAGACAAAACTCCCCCCCTCCCCCCCAGACATCGACACATATACCCTCCCGCAGACCTCTCGAGTGCGGCCAGGAGCAGCAAGAGGCAAGCAAAACCCCCCAAAAATGATGCGCTCCACCCCAGTGTATTTAACCCCCCCTTCCTCCCTCCGGCATTGCTGTAGTCAGTTTTTTGTCAACCCGGTCAGCCAGACGTCACGTCCGGTATTTTCGGGTTAGCGAAACAGGTCCTCGGTTTGTGTTGTGTCGGGTTTAAATCCCCGTTTTTTAGGGGGGGGGACAGACTTGCTTGGGACGCCGGGCGTCGTTTTCAATAACAGGGGGACTGGAGGTGTCGTTTTAGGGAAGGCTGACCGTGCGAATCGCCAGGGGAGCAGGTGCAATAAGGTGTAGTGTAGCTCGTTCCCGGAGACGGAGGAAGATTTCTTTTGTGAAGTCCACTTCCGCCGACGAGAATGTTGTTTTGCTTGTGGGATTTTCACCAGACGCGACGAAAAATTTAAAGCCACTTCCCATCAGGATTATATATATATACACACAGATATCCGTATCTAACAGAAGCGTTCAGTGCATGCAACCGGCAGTTAAAGCACAAAGAGGGGTTTCGGAATCGGTTCCTTTGTGCAAAACAGCGAAATATTTCGGTTTGTGGTTCAAAACAGCCGTATGTATCGACTTAGATAGCGTCCATTGAGCTACCATTTTTTTTATATAAATACGGTATAGAAACGGGCTTGCAGGCTTATCCCTGGTGGGAGACCCCAGTGTAATTTATCTTCACAGCGCTCGACACGACACAAAAAGATGTTCCGGTATTTGAGCGATGTGGACGAAAACCCTTTTGTGATGTGAGTATATGTCAACTGTCGTATTCTGGTTGTATAACCGTAGTGGCTCCTGTTATGAAATCGTTCGTTGTTGGTCTTCTTTTTTTTTTTTCCAGCGGACTTGATCAAAGCCGGTTTGTTTCGTTTCTGTTCTGTGGCTGCTGGCCTGCTGTATCGAATGGTTCTCGTCTACACAGCGGTTTTTAAATTTTAACCATGCCATGCCTATAGGTATGGACCTATTCACCTGTAATGGAAAAATACGTGTTTTTTTTCTTTACTGAACTCCGCCCGCTATAGTTGGTTCTACTTTTAGACGTATAATTCCACGGTTGTTCGTGTTTAAGTCAATTGCACGTTTGGATTACTATGTTTCTAATACAACAGTGGGTGGTTAATAACGTTATCAGACAAACGCTGAGCCCCGATGACTGGACTTGATCAGTTAAGTGACTTTCATTGACATGGACGTGACTGACTGGACTGTCTTCACTAAGTTTGATTAGTTACCTGAATTCATACCCTTATGCCTGTTGACACTGAGAGTACACTTGTTCACTCGATGCTGTGCTGGACTGATGATACCGTGAGCCCAATTTAGTTATCACCTGAGATTACCAGACTCGCACTGACAGAGCCTGAAGTGTGATTTACTGAGTTTGGTTAGTCATCTCAAATCATAACTGGGCACCTCGCTTGCACTGACATCTGTGACTGCAGGCTGTACTGGCCTGACTCTACAGTGTGTTGGATTTGTTATGAATTTATACCATAATCTGACTTGCATTGACATTAATAGAGCAGTCTGAGGCTTTCCAGGCTGTACTATTTTGCCCTGTGCCAGAATGAACGCTGTCTGCCTTTTGAGATTGATCAGTTTTTATTGGAGTTATCATTGTTCATTCAGTAACGCTGATGACAGTGTGATTGGCTCTAGGCTTTGTTGAGATGTAGGGACTTTAAGATTAATTAGCTTGAATTATAACCAGACTCTCTGAAGCATCCCAGGGCTTTTATATTACAAAGCTGTACTATTTTACTCTATAGCTTTTTTTAAATTACTGACTTGGGAATATGATGCAGTTTTGCATTTCTCTATCAATTTTTCCTCTTTCTTTGTACATCTAGAGATGGATTTGTGCTCCTGTGAGCTCAATCTTTTCAGGCCAGATTCCCTACAGACATTAAAGAGTGGCTTGAAGTGTTAAGCGTGCATCTCCTTCTTCCTCATTAGCCAATTAAGGTTATTCAGATTTTGAATAGTGAGTACTGTACCATAGTATAAAATATTGAGTCCTGTATGATGGGGGGGAAAAACATGTGTTTAGTGTTGGTGATGTAGTAACAGACAAATAAGTTCTGGAACCCGAGATGACGTTTAAGTAACTGAGTTTATTGCATCCAAGGAACAATAAAACCAAAGTATAGTTTAAAATATATGTACAAAATGTCCAGTTTATATAGCAAATTTCAGCTGCTTCGGACGCAAATTGTTACCATGGTAATGGGGCTGGGCACCTGTGTTTGGACATTCCCAAGACCTTTTAATGGTCGGTTTTATCTTTCCTTAGTTAGGGGGGTCTTTATCTTGCTCTTGGAATTTCATCTCGATTAACTCCCATCCCTGCCATAACTCAAGGGCGCCTAAGCATGGGATGTCTTGTGTTACAAGAGGTCTTTGTGCGGAAAGAAATCGGTTCACCCCCTTTTTCACATCTTGTATCTTTCTTCAGTGATTTTCCAATTAAGGCAAAAATGAAGGTGAAAGAGAGTGACTCGCATTGTCATTCCGTCAATGTAGTGGTGAGACTACAGCGGCACCGCTTGAAGAAAAGGTGGAGGTCTTGTGCGTGGCTGACCTGAGTTCAGGACGTCTGTGGGATCGGTTTGCCAAGAGACGACCGCACCTGTGCAGCCTGAGCCAGCAGGGCTGCATCTGTACAGCAGGAGTGGTGTTGCCTCCCAGAGATTCAGTGGGTCTGTGTGTCAACACTGGGGGGGATATGTTAGCGCGCTGGGAGAGCGTACCCAATGTTGACTTTGTCGTGTGCCATTATGGCTCATGAAGGGCCTGAGGCCTCAGGAAGGTGACCAGGGTGGCTTCTGCTCGAGCCTGAACAGTCTGGAAGTCGCTGCTCCCAAATGCTTTGAGGAGTAAGCCTGGCAGAGGTTGTAGGCAGGAGCTGTAAACGGTATGTCCTGCTCTAGCAGAGCTCACTTGCTTGAAGAACAGTCATCCTGAGTAGATCTGCTGGAGAAACAGCAGAAATAGCATGTGTAGCATGTCGAAGGCACCTGGTGGTTCTGTGATGGACTGTCTCGAATGTTCCATTTAGGATGCATTTTGTTATCTCGGCTTGTTTGACCCATTTCATTTTTTTTTTGTTTAAATTCCTCTAGGGATCCTTTCACAGCCCACCGGCAGCACATGCGGAGTCTGTTTGGGTCGTTTGGATTTGACCCATTTCCTCTGAGCCCTCAAATACAGCCCAGCAGGACTCCGCAAATACAGGTGCTGTCCCCTATCTCGGTGCAGTGTTCATGTACTGGAGTGTCCAGTCAGTGTGTCTGTATGAACCCCTTTCTCTCTCAGTGCAGTGTTCATGTACTGGAGTGTCCAGTCAGTCATTGTATTTTTTTTTCTTGTCTCAGGCTGCAGGTGCTCTCTCCCCCTTTGGCATGATGGGAATGGTAAGTGTTGGGTTTTTGGGGGTTTTTGTATCATGTTTTTTTTTAAGTGTTAATGTTTATCTTTGATAGACTAGAATAATAATTTCTCTTCTCCCTTTCCCACTCAGGGAGCAGGAGGTGGCTTCATGGATATGTTTGGGATGATGAGTGGCATGATGGAGAATATGGTGAGAAAATTCAGCTTCTCTCTGAAATTCATGTCTGCATTGGTGCGTTACAGGTCTGCTTTTAGTGAGTGCTATGGTGGACAATGCCAGTGAAGGATCATGGGAATTGTAGTACACGTTGGGAAATGTAGTTCTCTAAAGCTGGTTTCAAAGTTGCAGCCATTACCTCATGGTATGCTCTGCCAAGTTACCAATTTGTAAATTTTTAGGCATTTGATGAGCATTACCCTAGTGAAACCAAAGGAGATTAGCCTCTTATTTACTTTTTAAATGGTGCATACTGTTCCTTGGTATAAAGAGGAACTGAGAGGAAGTGTCATTCCTGACCATGTGTGTTTTATGATGTCCTTGTATGGAGAATTGCGAGAGTGCGTAGCTCTTTGTACGTCTCCCCCCCTCAGCCACAGTGATGATGATCCTCTTTGAAAAGATTGAACTCAAAATGATCATGGTCCGAGACCATGGGTCATCACCTGTGGTCTACGGTCTCATCAAGTGATCGTCCGTGGGGTTTTAAATGAAAGTTCGCAGTTTTTGTTTTTTAGAGGGGAGCAGGACACCTTGACTTTTGCTACTCTCTCTTCCAGAATACATTTCAGCATTGACCATAATGGGCACAGATGGATGTGTCAAAAAAAGCTTCTAGTGTAGAATAGGCTATAGGGCTGAAGTGCTGGGTCAATTTCAAAATGAGCAGGGAGTGCATTTTAAATAATAGTCTTGTCACCACATTTTTGGCTTAGACATAGCTATTGATGATGTGATGTTTGTGTTCCTTGTCTAAGTAGGTTTCTCTTTCCCTTTCTCTATAATTCCTTACACTTCTTTAGTGCTTTTCTGGACACTCCACTCAAAGTGCTTCACAGGTAATGGGGGATCCCCTCCATCACCACCAGTGTGCAGCCCCACCTGGATGATGTGCCAGTACTCGCACCACACACCAGCTCTCAGTGGGGCGGAGAACAGAGGGATGAAGCCGGTTCATAGATGGGGATTATTAGGAGGCCATGATTGGTAAAGGCCAGGGGGAAATTTGGCCAGGATACGGGGGTTCACACTCCTACTCTTTTTGAAAAATGCCCTAGGATTTTTAATGACCACAGAGTCATGATCTCGGTTTTATGTCTCATCTGAAAGTGTCTCCGTCACTATACTGGGGCATTAGGACCCACACAGACCACAGGGTGAGTGCCCCCTACTGGTCCCACTTACACCTCTTCCAGCAGTGACCTTAGTTTTTCCCAGGAGGTCTCCCATCCAGGTACTGGCCAGACTCACACTGCTGAGCTCCAGTGGGGCTGCCAGTTGAGTTGCATGTGATATAGCTGCTGGCTAAGATCTATGGTCTAAAGAGGTGTCCTTTTATATTGCAGAGCTACAGGCAAAAACGCATTGTGTAACTCTGGTAGATGTGTGTATGTGTTCTGCTATGTTCAATTATTGCTTGTGTATTTGTGCACCCAAGGGGCTGGGGTTTGAGACTACTGAAGGTATAAAATGGTGCAACGGATTTAGGGAAGAAATGGGCCTTAAATTCTTCTGTCGCCACCTGGAGGTAATGGCTAGGATTGTAGCTTTTGTTTTTGTAAAAACTCAGTATCGCCCCCAGGTGGCGAGTGTAATGACTCTTTCTAGTCTGGGGGGGGCAGTAGTGTTCCTGCAGGTTTGGCCCTGGCCATTAGTGAACTTGGCTACTGGCCTAGGGCCCCAAGGCCACCAGGGTACCCCCTCAGTGTGCAACGCAACATTTGTAACTGGCATATTCGAATGTGAGAAACAAATGCCTCTTTCTGCTGTTACTGTGGGTCATCCTAATGGGAGCCCAGTCAAAATAATGACCAATCATAATCAAGGATGTAATGTTTCTGGAGCACAGAAAAGAGAAGATATTGGATTTTAAAACGGAAGTATGCTAATCAAGTCATTGTAATAGTGCATAAGTCTGGGGAGGAGTGGTGGCTCTATGGCTCAGGATCTGCGCCTGTGGCTGGAAGGTTGCCGGTTCAAATCCCGAGGCCGGCAGAGGAATCCCACTCCGTTGGGCCCCTGGGCAAGGCCCTGAACCCCAGCTGCTCCAGGGGTGCCGTATAAATGACTGACCCTGCGCTCTGACCCCAAGCTTCTCTCCCTGTCTGTGTGTCTCATGGAGAGCAAGCTGGGGTCTGCGAAAAGACAAATTCCTAATGCAAGAAATTGTACATGGCCAATAAAGTGATCTTATAATGTCGTAATTTGTATTTCATTTGGTTTTAAGTCTGTCAGACCCACGTAACTAGTGAACGGTAGATATATTTTCAAGCCAGGTATTTAGGCTATTTGAAGTGTTTGTACTAGACATGAACAGATTCACATTCCCCGCAATTGTACACATGCCACTTGGCTAAAAATCATCTGGCTGAAGATGGGCGCTGCCAAACAAAATATAAGATCATTTTCTTGGCCATATACAGTTTCTTGCATTAGGAATTTGTCTTTTCACACACCCCAGCTTGCTCTCCATGAGACACACAGACAGGGAGAGAAGCTGGGGGTCAGAGCGCAGGGTCAACCATTTATACGGCGCCCCTGGAGCAGCTGGGGTTAAGGGCCTTGCTCAGGGCTCCAGCGGAGTAGGATTCCTCTGCCGGCCGCTGGATACAAACCAGCAACCTTCCAGCCACAGGCGCAGATCCTTAGCCACCGATCATGAAAACAGATGAACAGTGTGAAAAACTGTTCAGCAGGTTCTACGTATTTGGCATTAAAATGCACCGTGTTCCTTGTGGTTTCTCTTGTATTTCATTAAATGGGGGGGGCACTGTGAACTCAACCCTTAGCCCTTTGCTCTCCCAGTGACTACAGCAGGAGCAGAGGAGCTTTTCAGAGCTCAAGTGGGTTAAAACAGGTTGAAAATGCAGGCAAATTGATTTAAAGAACATTTTTTCTGAAACTCCCATCTGCTCGGCCTTACTGATCTCACCCCCCGCCCTTGTTATTGATGACACCTGATTTTTTTTTCTTACTTTTTAAAATTGGATATTTCTGCAGTTCTTTCCTACAAAGGTTTCAGTGCAGTACTCTTTAAGATTTAATTTGGAAGTAACTAATAACCTGCTTGTTATTGTTAATGCTCCCTTTTTTATCGCTTTTAGTGTGAAAATATATAATTTTAATACAAATGTTTGAGTTTTGCGTTTTAAGCTGGTTAGTAAGCGTTTCCTGCTTTATATCATTTTTTTTTATTGCTCTAAAATAAGGTTGTTGTGGGAGCCGAAGCACAAACCGTGATCTGGAGGGGACCCCTTTCCGAAATCTTTCCTTGGCGGGGGGCCCCCCCGAAAAGCTAGGGCTGGCCTGGTGTTAATTTGGGGTCTTCCCATTTCTTGGTAACTGCAGGGTTCCCACGGTCATGGAAATCCTGGAAAAGTTATGGAAAATGAAATGTCATTTTCCAGACTTGGGAAAAGTTTGGAGAAATTGTTAAAATATCCGTTAAGTTTTGGGAAATGTCATGGATTTTTTTTTATTTGATCCAAAATGATCCCGGCTGGGTCATGTAACCTTGTGCGTAAGTTAGCTAACTCTTAAAGAGAGGCGGTGGCACTGCTGTTGGTGACATGACGCCTTCTAGTGTCATGCGAGACCCTCTCGCGGACAATTTTATAGTGAGCCGTAAGCTAGCCTAGCGCCCATGTTCAAAGGCCGGGTAAATGTGTTTTCAGTGACCCCTGGTTAGCAGATGGATGAATACAAGCAATGGCTCCAAAAAGATGAAGACCCAGGATGTGCGAGGTGTTAATTATGCAGAAGAAAGTTTTGGCATTTTGTTGGTAAAAAAATGAGTGGGGAACGCTGTAATTCTGCGGGAACCCTTTTCTCTCGGCGTAGAGTTGAATCCGACCAGCCTTTTGCATTAATGCTTTCTCTCTCTCTCTCTCTCCCTCCAGGAGCGAATGTCGGGCAGCCAGATGTATTCCTCCTCCACAGTCATCTCCTACTCCAGCTCGGGATCCGGGGCGCCCAAGGTGTACCAGCAGACCAGCGAGATGAGGGCTGCCCCTGGAGGGGTGAGAGAGCGCCGCGGGCAGGGTGGCGGGGGTGGGGCCAGAGCGTGCTGGGTGGAAAGAGAAGGGGTTTAGATCATGTGGCGATTCGGAGAGCGCGGAGGCGAGTCTTGAACGTTGATTTCCTCTCCCGTCCCCGCAGATCAGAGAGACCCTCCAGACGATCCGCGACTCGGAGAGCGGGCTGGAGCGCATGTCCATCGGCCACCACATCCGGGACCGCGGCCACGTGATGGAGAGATCGCGGAACCGCAAGACGGGGGACCGCGAGGAAAGGCAGGACTTCATCAACCTGGAAGAGAGTAAGGCTCTCCCACTGGGGAACAGGTGGCCCGTCTGGGACCTGCGAGCTGGCGAGGCGCGGCGGTGTGGTGGGCAGAGGGTACTGATCAAGAACCTCCGATCAGGAGACGTTCCGAATCAGTCGTGGCCTCTTGGTCCATCTATCCCGTTTGGTAGTTATTAGCTGGCTGATCCAGGCATCTTGTCCAGCTCTTTTTTTTTGAAAGAAGCCAAGGTGCTTTAACGATGTGGCTCTGCAGCTCGTTCTGTACTCCCACACCCCTGCGTATGGGGGGAAAAATGCTTCCTAAAAAACCTGAATCGCACCCAGACCTGCTTGGCCACTGGCTTATTGTCGGCCTTCTTGTCAGTTTTCGCAATCCTGAAGCTAACTTACAAAGGTGCGTGGCTTGGCACCTCGGTACCTGAGTTAGTCGTCTTACTCCCCGCCTCGCAATCTTCGATCCTCAAATTCTGATCTGTGTTCCCCCAAGCCCCATCTACGCTATGGGTGACGTGGCTTTCTCCTGTTATGCTCCAAAGCTCTGGAAACTCTATCCCCAAGGATATCGGAGAGTCACCTTCTCTTAACTTTCAAATTGTCTGTCCCTGCCACCAACCCCCTTCTTCACTCTGTTGGTCTTCTGCTGCTGCGCCCCAAAGTTATGGACCTCTATCCCAGAAGATATCAGAGTCCCCTTTCCTGATCTCATTCCAATTTAGACTGAAAACCTTTTTTTAAAAGGACTTTTAGTTAAGTGGTTCTGTCTGCCCCCTTGGCTTTCCTACTGTATTCCTAACCCCTCAGTTAATAAGGTTAAGGTGACTTATTTTCGGGGTGCCAAGGAAGTTTTGTTCCAGGCCGAGCTCCTTGAGGATTTGACGGGACCAGTGTGTCAGCCACCTCCCTGGCCTGCTTTCCCTGGCGCTGACTCAAGGAGAGCTTTATTTTTGTACTCCCTGGGCCCCCTCTGGCTTAATGATAGTAATAATAACAGCAGGGTGAGGTTCGTTTTCATTGTTCAGGCTGAAGCGTGTCCTCGTGGGAGCCGTCTAAATTGCAGCTTTGCAGCGCGACATCTGCTCAGTCGCAGCCTGTAATTGTCTTTATTACGCTTTGTCTCGCCACAGGTGCAGCATCCTACTCTCGTCTTTCCTGGTGTTTTTTTTCCCCCCTTCTTCTGTAATTCTGGTTAAAAGTTTTTCTTGGGGTGTAAGAGGTTGCAAAATAAGGCAACCTTTTGGCCTATCGAGCTTGTTTGGTCCTTAATAGATAATCTAAGAATCTCATCCAGTTGTTCCTTAAAAGAAGTCGGGGTATTGGCTTCAACAGCATGGCTGGGTTACTTGTTCCACACCCCCACAACCCTTTGTGTAAAGTGCCTCTCGGTTTTAAAAGTCCAGTGTAAATTGTTTCACCTGTGCTCTGTCAGTTGGTGTGGATGCTCCCCAGCTGTCTCTTAATGAGCACTTAACATCCCTCATAAATGCGCGTGTATCCTCACCCAGAGTAGATGGTGACCTATTACTCCCTGTTGGCTGCTGCTACTTCACTGTTGTGCAAGCCGTTGCTGTGATATCTTCCAAGACTGGCCCCACTCCAGCAGTTCCTGTGTGTTGTGTCCTTTGGGGAAACCCAGTCACATCTGATGCAACCATCTGATGACGCATTGGAACCAATCAAATTCTGTGAGACTGCTAGACCTAGCCTGCCCTCTGAAGCCCTCCAAACTTTTACTTTTTAATAAGTTGTCATCAACTCGGGCTTTACAAGTTGCACATGAGGGTTCACCCTTTAAAATGAGCAACGGGTTAGGTTACCGTTAATTGTGGAGTTGGTGACGGTGCTCCACGTTACTACCTGAAGGGCTACATCTAGAAACGTTCTCCCCCATTTCTTATTCGGAAAAGGCATTCCTAAAATTAGTAACTTCAAACGAAAGCGTTGCTTTTTAGAATCCGAGATGCGTCCAAGTCAGATCCGGGCTGGCTCTATACTGCAGCTGGGCAGCACGCTGGCCGAGGTAAATGTGGTAGCGTTCTTGTGTCCTTTAGATTTAAGTTCTAAGGTTCCAGTTGCTAAGATATATCAAATATGTAACTTGTTGCATATGTCTTGCTTCCAGGTGATTCAGTGTTGGGGGATTTCACCAGATATGCACAATGGGGGTTACTGAATACAGCAGGAGCAGAGGGGTAAAGAACAGAACCAGTTCAGTAAAGGCTCTTCTAAAGAAGGTTTTGAGCTGGCATTTGAAGGAGTGTAGGGAAGGGGGGGACTCTGATATCCTTAGGGATAGAGCTCCAGAGCTTTGGGGCATAATTGGAAACGGTCCTGGAGTGTAGATGGTTTTGGAGGGACAGATGAGAGAATGGAATCGGAACAGCGGAGGTTGCCATGCGGGGAGTAGGCCGATAGTAGCTCAGACAGGTACTGAGGTGCTGAGCCATGCAGAGCCTTACCGGTGAGCATGTGGATTTTGAAGTCATCCCAAAACCTGACGGGAAGCCAGTGCAAGGACTCCAGGACAGGAGTCATGTGATCACTTGCGCTAGACCTGGTCAGGATTCTGGCTGTCGGGTTTTGGAAATGCTGGAGTTTGTTCAATGTGTGGATTTAGAACCCCCAGCGAGTAGAGTGTTAAAGTAGTCAATGCGGGAGAAGCCCTGTTGATCAGCTTTTTAGCAACGGTTTAGTGGTGATATTTCTGGGATGACAGGGCGGGCACACTAGCACAATCTGTGGGAGCAGGGCTCGAGCCCCTGATCATAGAGCTTCAGGGAGGACTTCCAGTGTCCAGGAGGCTGGTCAGTGAGTGTATCCCTCCTTCTGTCTCCGTGCAGTGGTGAGTGACCGGGCAGTCCAGCCGGCGGCTGACTGACCGCCCCCTCTCTCCCTTTCTCAGGTGAGGCCGCCGCGTTTGACGAGGAGTGGCGGCGGGAAACGGCGCGGTACCCTCCCCCGTCCCTGCGGGGGCTGGACTACGGGCGGGAGCGCAGCGGAGGGGGCCGGGGGGGCCAGCTGGCCCTGCCCGCCCCCCAGAGCTCCCCCTCCGGCAGCCCCCGCGCTCCCCCCCCCTCCCGGAGGTACGACTGGTGACCATCGCACCGGCCGAGGACGGGGAAGCCAGCCGTGGTGAGTGACCTGACATCAGGGGCGGCACCAGAGCTCCCTCACCATGGGTGGAACATGTGAGGCACAGGCCCCAGTATAAGCCTTCTATAGACCCAGAACGCACACCTGACAGCACTTTCATACAGAACATTACGCAGTGCTTAAGTACAGAAGTGCAAAGCTGCCATCTAGGACAAGAACACACTTTTGCCATTGAGGTAGGAAAAAATCCTGAGTTATTGATACCTCGTAATTATGAGATCATTTGAGTGTATGAGCAACCTGTTACATGCAATAACAGCACCTACAAGCTACTGATGAGCTTGGCTAGAACTGTGGGTGTAGTGTTCCTGGCCAGGGGTAGCACTGCCGAATGTGCATGGACGTACTTTTCCTCTGGGTTTTATTCCTAATGACATTACAGTTTGTACCTTGTGTGAACACCGTTTGAACCATGAGGACATCAACTTGTACCCTGAAACAAGAACGAGTGCCTGCTGACAATACTGATAATTCTGGTATCGTGTGATCACAGTATGTGAGAGTGTGCTATCTTTGAATTGAGGTTTTTCTTTCTTGATGGGGGCAGTGTACTTCCTTACCTTAGAGAGGCACCTAAGGGAGATCAATACAGACACTAGGACATACCCAAGACAAAATAACAAAGACCCTAATAACCTAGTCAACTAAAATAAGGTAATGGATTAATGCTGATTGTATTATAGACCTAGACTCGACAGACCTATAGTGGATTAATACAGGCCTGAATAAAGACCCTAGTGACGCACTAATGACAAAATAAAGACCCAAGTAAAGATAGAAGAGATGCACCTAACGGATTAATACAAGCGCTAATATAGACCAGCGACGGATATAAATTAATACAGACCCTAACTTTCTTTTCACAGGATGAATGACAGTGTGGAGGATAACATCATGATTATACTGTGGGAGAGGTGAAGAATTGAAGATGCTGAAGACAATAGACTGTCTATAAACACTGTGTATATATATACACGCACATACAACATAAACATTTGTTACACATCTGTAAACTCACTCTGACATGCCTGTTAACAGACTGACGGACTCACGAACGCACACACTGACACTCATTAACATGCACACCCTACACACACACTGTCTCTGTCTATAAAGCAACAGCACAGTGTCTCTCAGTGTGGATTGAGATGTACGCTGTCAAACTGTTTAATTCCTTAATAAAGATCATTATTGGCGTTGTTAAATACTGGAAGAAAATGAGTTTGTTTTATTTAAGCTCACTGAAACGTTCTCCCACCCCCCACCCACACCAAGAGCCTAAGCTGTTACTTTCTCAAACTGCTGCATCGGCTTTTGTCCGAGGATCAGCTGTGTCTTTGAAATGGGCTCACAAATTTTAATAAGACAACCAGCTGCAGCTATTTTATTTTTTTTTTTTGGAAGGCAAGCTTTTGCACAGAGAGGGGGGGGAAGGTTTTCAGAAACAATTGAAAGGTAGTTAAGGATTGGTTGCATGTCTCTTTAACTCTGAGAATTAAACAGCGGACGCATGGCGAGGGCTGCAGCAGACGGCGGAGACTGAAAGAGCCAGTGTGCCCAGCGGGGCACGCAGCACTGCGGTTTGGTTGACCCTGCTTTACTGGCCCAGATGCCTGACTGAGGTGCTCGAACGCTCTGTTGGTGAAATCTGCAGTCCCGCTTGTGGGGGCTGCAGCACCTTTCCTACCCTTGATCTTGGTCTTCTTTCTCCCTTGCTTTCCTTGCCACGTCCAATAATTACAAATGTCCCGAGTGCGGTTTCCTCTCTCGCCCCTTTCGTGCTTTCCTGGTGGATTTATTAAGTGCTGCCAAAGCAGTGGGTGGACGTTTAGAAGGAAATACTGGCTCGCTCAGCCTGTTCCTCAGGTCCCCTGCTGGGCGGCCAGCTCTATGGAGGTTCCTCCACCTTTCCCGCAGTTTTGATTGGAAGCCGTTCTGCTTCTGGCAGGGGTAGGAATTCAGGGATTAAGTGGGAGAAGACTTGTCTAAATCCCCGATTTGCGTGCAGTGCAGTGGAAGGTGCTTCACACAGGTGCGGGTGGGAGCGCAGACTGTTCTCTCTTGCACAGACCGGTCTGCCTGTGTCAAGCAGTGTCTGGGGCCGGCCTGTGATCCTCTTCTGTTCTCGCTGGACAGCCAGGCCTGCCTCTCACCCAGTGTTATAGCCAGGCTGTGGTGCTCAGTCCTGTACATGTCAGGTCCTAGTTCTCCTGGTCACCATTGGTCATATTCTTGGTTTATAGTGTTTTTCTATCCCCCTGCAGTACTCCTTTCCCACTCACTCTCTCTCTCTCAAAAGGACTGAACTGTTAAAGGTCTGCAGATGGTCACGTGACCAAGACCCAAAACACACCAGAAAATCAGCCAATTAGAATTGACTTTGCTTCCCCTCCTCCTCCTGCCTCTCTCTTCCTTCTCCTCTCTCTCTCTCTCCTTCTTCCCCTCCCTTGCTGTGTCAAGGACACTCGCATGAGCTGTAAAAATCTGCTGTGAGGCAAATAATCCTGTTAGCCCAAAATGGCTGATTAAGAGCCCTGTCCTTCCTCTCCACCTGATCGCTGAGCGGGTGACAGTTTCCCTCTCTCTGTTGTGCAGGGGTCTGTCTTCTCGGAAGCTCAGTTTCATTTGCTCACCTACTGAAAGGACAGGCCTCGTCTCTGGGAAGGTATAGAGCTGAACCCTCCCCCTCCTTCCAGCTCCACACCCTAGTGGTAGAACTATCGGCCAGCTGCACAAGCATCCTCGTCAGGCCCTGCACTGTGCAATCTAGGCCCCCATTTCTACCCGAAACGGCACTGCTGTGTTCTGTGGGCGTTTCATTTTTCTATCAAGGGCTTCCCGATTTCGGATGACCCGCCACCACGCATAATACCGTGTGCAAGGCTGACACATTAACTCGATGACAATATCCCCGGGAAGATGGGCTTTCCTCCACGTCTGAGATAGGAGCGTCTCGACATCTGTGAAGAGCTGTCAGGAGAGTACGTGCAGGTCAGGGCAGCTTTTGTTTTAAAACATTCTCCAGAATAGAGCAGACAGGCCTAGAATAGATAATAGTGAATCTTTTGGGGATCCATTCTGCGTGTTGTGGCTTTGCCATCTCTCTTCTCCTGAGATTCCCTGCATTTCCATAAATCAGCTTTCCTAAACACCTCTCTCTCTCTGTCTTTCCTTCTCTCCATCTTTGTGCTGCTGCATCTCTGTTCTCTCTCTCTCTCTCCTTGACCCGCTCTCTCTCTCTCTGACTCATAGCCTCCCCTCCTCCTCGTTCTCCTCCCTCCCTGACTGGCACATTCGCCCCACTCCTCCCCCCCCCCCTGCAATCTGTATTTCTCTCGCTCCCTCCCTCGTTCTGTCAGATTCTCTCGCTCTCCCTGCAAGGCTAAGCACACGCAGCAGGTAAGGCTCGCTCGCCGCCCGGCATCTCCCTCTCTCCCCCTCTTCTCCCCTGCTCTTCCCCGTCTTCGTTCTCCGTCCGCAGACGCCGGCTCCCGGTCGGTATCGATCAGACTGCGGACGCTGGGGGGTCTCTGAGGCAGTGCGGCAGGGCAGTGTATCTGCGTGTCAGTGTGCGTCTGTGCGGGTACATTAGTCTCTCTTGTGTGTGTTCTTGTGTGGGTTGCCGATATCGAGCTGGACCTGTCTGTGTGTGTGTGTGTATGTGTATGTATCGTGGCTTTTGAAGATTATTTTTTACTGCATTACTGCAGACAAGCTGTCTGTCAGTGTCCTTTCCTGTCCTATCTGTCTGTGCATAGCTATTGCCTTGCAGAAGCTTACTGCACCTGCAGGAGATGTCTAATTAGAGTTAATCGGTTCTGGGAGGTTGTGTGATACAGCCTAGAGGTCATTCTCCCCCTCTTCCTCGTCTCCCTCCTCCCTGGCTCTCTGTCGGACTCGGTGCGCTGTTGGCAGTAGAGCCTGGCAGACCAGCCGCTGGGTCAGTTTGGCTGCAGAAACCTCCCCCCCCCCTCCCTCCGCTGCGTCTCCGAACGAGGGCTTCCTTTGCTTCGCCGGAGCCCGAGCAGGTTTTAATAATTGATTTCTCTCCCTCCCTCCCTGCTGCCGGCTCCTGTCTCCTTGGCGGCTCGGGAAAGAGAGGATCGAGAGAGAAAGAGGTATGCCGCGGATCGAAATGTGGGCTCCATGCCGGTCGGGGGGATCTCTCGAGCTCCTCACAGACCTGCGGCAGATTTGCCCGTGCTTTCGGAAGCTCTGCTGCCCTGTAGGCATCGACATGCCAGGCATTGTCAACAGCACCACATGGCCAGATATTAATGATATTGTCACTGATGTCCACAGTGATGCACTGGCTATGTAAAATGAGGCAAAACAGCAGACTGTGTGACATATTGTACACGCAGTGATGTCACTGCTGCCAAGATGGAGCTACAGGGCAAGAGGAAGGTCTCAGCATTCTCCTCCCTGGATCCATGTCTTTCTCTCCCCTCTGTCTGTGAACCTCCTCTCTCTTTCTCCTGTCCTCTCATTCACCTTCTTCCTCCTCTCTGTTCTAACCATCTTCTCTCCTCTCTATCTCGTCTTTCTGCTCTCTGTAACTCCTCTCTCCTCTCTCTTCCTCTGTCTCAATGCTGCGGCGTTCCCTGCCCCATCCTTGCGAACTCCTCTTCTCTCTTTCAGGATGTCGATCATCAATATCCACGCCCGTGAGATCCTGGACTCCCGTGGGAACCCCACAGTGGAAGTGGATCTTCACACGGAGAAAGGTGACAACCCAGCTGCCTCTCCGTCCCTCAGCTCTTCCTCCCTCTGCCTGTCTCTCCACACCCTTCCCCCCCTGATCCTCCCAGACCTGTCTTCCCTCTCTTGTAGCTGAGCGCCATGTCTTCCATGACCCCCTGCTCTCGGTCTCTCTCCCTCTCCGTCAGGCATGTTCCGTGCTGCTGTTCCCAGCGGAGCCTCGACTGGGATCTATGAGGCCCTGGAGCTGAGAGACAACGACAAGTCCCGATACAAGGGGAAAGGTGAGAGGGGAGGGAGATGGGGGAGGTCAGGGAGAGGTGATCTCTGGATCATTTAGCTCCCAATCAGGCTACGTGGGTCTAACACCCTCCTCTCACTTGTAACCTTGCCTATGTTCTCCTGAAGGGGATGGAAAGGGAGAAAAAAGAGACAAGCTTGCTTCTGCAGTGGCTCAACGGGTAAAGGCATCACCTGAGATCAGGTCGGGCTCTGATATCCCGGGTCCGAGCCTGGGCTATGACACTACCTGCCTGGCACCGACGTGCTGCAGGCGGCACTGCTCCTTTGGCTAAGGGGCACCCAGGGCAGGGTGGGAGTTGTCTGAGACACAGCGCCCCCCTGTGGCCTGCCGGGCGCTTACAGGCTTGTGGTTCTGTCAGTGATGGACATTCCTCTCCTGCAATCAGCGCTGAGCCTGCGGGACAGAGCACCGTAGGCTGCCTATGACGTCTTAAGGTGGGCGGGTCAGAGGAGCCTGCCTGTACCGCCTCCCTCTTCTCCGCAGGGCGTCGTGCAAAACACGCAGCTGTCTCTGTGTTCCGAAATGGGGCAGGAGCGCCAGCGGTAATCAGCAGCTGTAAATCTGAGAATGAAGGCTAGGGAGAGGGGCAGATGCGAAGGCGATACTGAAGAGGTGTGGATGGGAGGCGCTCAGGATACTGTCTCCACTTCCACATCTCCTCAGCATGACTTCATTGCAAGTTTATTGCAGTATTTCTGACCTGTTGCAATGTTTTCTATCTTTTTCTGTCTTTTGACTAGCGGGGGTATGGTTGTAATATCATGACATCCCTGTTTTATCGTGACAATGCCACTGTATTTCTCTATTATCATAATATGTAGCATCACAGTTTTTCTGCCCTGTTTGTATACTGTTACGATACCAGGCCATCCCCACTGTGTTATCGTCACCTCCCTTATCATGTGCTCTCTATACTCTCATGGCATATCTGCACTATCTGTAATTGCTCTTGAGCCTGTATCTATCCCTGTATCGATTATAACACCCTGTATTGTCTTAATATCCCGTTTCCTCACAATATCCTTGAACTGTCCCCCTGTCTCTCTGTTCAGGCGTCCTGCAGGCTGTAGCTCACATCAATGACACCCTTCGGCCTGCGCTGCTTGAATCAGTGAGTCACTGTATCCGGATGCGACAGTATCGGTTGGGGGTTTTCAGTTTTATGTGTTATATCCAGTATGTGTGTGCAGGACAATTTATTTTTACAAAGAATGAAAACTATCTATAGTTATTTGAGATCTATATTTGAAGAATGTGTTGGTTGCACTGTCCGTATCGTGTGGGGCGCAGTGCGCTCTGTGTATGTGTAGACTGAGCATCAACAGAAACCCATCACACTATTCATGCAGATACGTTTTGAGAAACATAAAGTGCATGGGTTTTGGATATTGATGACATGTTTAGGGTGTCATTTTGATTAACCGATGATCCAAGACTGATATTCTCGAGTGACGCTGGTGCAGAACGTCGTTAGTGAGAGAGTGGGTGAGGGACTGGTGATGAGGTCATTAACCTGTTGAGAGTCCCGTCTGCTGAAAAGTAACAGTGGAAAACAGAGGCAGGGAACTATGTGCCCTGTTCAGCAAGATTAAAATTCCTTTGTGCCGTCGGTACGCTGTCGCCGGCTGTCTGGGGAGTTGAGGACGGGAATTTCGAACCTTGCAAGACGTTATAGACAAAAGCACAGGCTGTCGGTGGTGGACTGTGATGTGCTGCGCGGTGTGTCACAGCGAGCGTTGTGTGGTTTGGGTTGCAGGAGATCAGTGTCGTCGAGCAGGAGAAGCTGGACAACTTGATGCTAGAGATGGACGGCACCGAGAATAAGTGTGAGCTGCCCCGGATCAATCCCTCCATCCATCCATCAATTGCTTGGATCAGTGTTTTTTTTCTAGATACCATAAAGAGACAATGAAGTATACAGCAGTGTAGAAACACAACGAAACACAATGAATCAAGTTGTAGCGGTAAAAACCGTAACTGAAACAAAAATACGACTGACGATGATAACAAACAAACTGTTTTGTTGTTGCTTGAAGTACAAAGCATTTCTTAGCATCATCAGAAATGAACAAGTCACACTTACACAATTACTGTGCTGTATAATGCAGTATTACTACTGTATATCACTACACTACGCTGTTTTACTGTATCTGTACACTGTGCTCTATTACTGTATCATTATTATGTATAGTTCTGAACTACTGGATCACTGCCTTATGCAGTAATACTGAGTCACTACACATAGTATTGAATTACTATGTATCATTACTGTATTTACTGTATCACTACTCTCTACAGTATTCTACACCTGTATTATTATACTGTAATATGCAGTAAATCTGAGCGAAGTACTGTATTACACTGTGCTGTCATACTGTATCATTTCACTCTGCAATACTATATAACTACTGTATTGCCAGGTATTCTGTATTGTACATCCCTATGCAGCATTATTTTCATGCTGTTTTATCTGTTTCTATGAATGACTGTGTCAATCGGTGTGTGACTATGCCTCTGTTTTACAGCCAAGTTTGGTGCCAATGCTATCCTGGGGGTGTCCCTGGCTATCTGTAAGGCTGGTGCAGCGGAAAAAGATGTCCCCCTGTACCGCCACATTGCTGACCTGGCTGGAAACACTGAGCTTGTGCTGCCAGTTCCGGTGAGAGCAGGCTGACAATTATACACGGACTCTCACGTGCACTGGGGCACTGGGACTCTGGCTCAATGGCTGGTTGACACAATAACTCACAGACTCTGACAATCTGACATGCTCCACACACTGGCAGTCTGATAGTATGACTCCTGTTAGTATGACAATCAGCATGTTAGGAATGCAGGGATTCCAGCACTGCCCTCACTCATGTGTACTACAGGAACTTGAAGCAATTGAATCCCTTCCCCTCTGTGGTATGTCTGTTGCAGCATCACTCCCACCTGTGTCAGTTCGTTAACTATGCATCAACTAGTAACAACCGTTTAGACAGAAATAACTGCAAACGACTTAAGAAGAGGCTGAGTGGAGTTCAGACCTAAACGACCAAGCAGATCAATGAGCTCTGGAGATATAGAGCTCAGCTGGGAAAAAACCCCGGAAGAGACACTGTTCCTCCAGGACCAGGGCTGGGGACTGTTCCTATTAGAAGTGCTGTCTTTTGTGTGTGAGTTTAAACCAAGGTCCTGCCTATTTGGTCATTAAAGATCCCATCTGTCCCTGATTCCTGGTTACATCCCACTCTGGAATTGTGAACTCTGACCATTCTAAGGTTGCTCCTGGATTCCTGCAGTAGTGTAGCTATGCCCTCATCACCCTGATCTGCTGTGTAGTGGATCTGCTGGGGCATGACCCACCCAGGTTTGCCAGAGAACGGCTGCCATTTTATCGACAATTTCTATGTGTGCTGCTCCTCTGCTATTTGAATCTCATAAAAGTTAATAATAATAATAACATGATAGAAATTATATGAGGCATTGTAAAAAGTAAAAGTGCACCTCTACCTATGTCACATTCTAAATACTTCATATAGATCAGAAAAGGCAGTGGACCTACGGCAGATCCTTGAGGTACACCACTGCTTACTTCAGCCCAATCAGAGGTGGTGTTCCTTAAGACAGCCCACTGTTTCCTGTTTGCTAACCAGTGTGGGGGATACAAGTTATGGAGCAGTTCTGCAAAGGTTTGAGATGAGTTTTCATTTGATTGAACAAGACCTTTTTCCAGAGAACACACAAAGAAGACACATCAGAGTGCATCCCCCCTGTGCTTTGAACTTTTAGGAAGCCTTTATAGTCTGGTGACTTTCTTGTGCTACCATGAAAGGATGTGATCATTGCATATTTGTTAGAACCTGTACACACGGCAGGAGGATATTTTTGACCGAATTATCCCTGCCTTTCAGCTATTTCCGAAACGTCTCACACACCAGGCGTCTGTCTCTCTGCAAAGAGTAAATTTAGAATGAACCCAGCTCAGGTCAAGTTCTACACCAGCACTGGATCCTGCTTTGAATTTGAGAATGATTCTTTCTTATTTCCCTCGCTCTGTCTCTCTTTATCCCTCTCTCTCTCTCCCAGGCCTTCAATGTCATCAACGGGGGCTCTCACGCAGGGAACAAGCTGGCCATGCAGGAGTTCATGGTGCTGCCGGTGGGGGCGGAGTCCTTCCGCGACGCGCTGCGCGTGGGGGCCGAGCTCTACCACACGCTGAGGGGGGTGATCCGGGAGAAGTACGGCCAGGACGCGACCAACGTGGGCGACGAGGGGGGGTTCGCTCCCAACATCCTGGAGAACAGCGAGGGTGAGGGTGGCGAGAGAGTGGCAAAGGGTCAGAGGGGAAAGCTGAAGCCGGAGAAGGAGACAGAGAGAGTGTGCACATTAGTGTGGCTTAGTGTTTCCCAGTGCCAGTATATTTTAGCGTCCAGTCAGTGTCACTGTGCTGTAGTGTCCAGTCAGTCAGTGTC